AAAATTTCTTACAACAAAAATTATATGAATAAATAAAATTTATAAATATTGTCTTTCTTTTGTTATTCACAACACTATATATATAAGTAATATCAATACTTCATGGTTAACAACAATTTTTTTTACAAATGAAATTGTCTATATAAATAAAATTTCTAATGTCAGTTTCTCTTTGAGCATATATCAACCAAGATGATTGATCCTGAAAAGTTGACATTAGAAGTTATATAAATTTGGTTGATGACTTTAAGGAGTGTAAATCATATTATTATTGCCATAAATAATGTTATTCTTATTATTACGATCATCATTTCTCTTTTTTATATAATAACCTATGCCTATACCAATTACCACTAAAAGTATAAAAGGTGCAGCGATAAAAAATTTAGTTTTAAGACTGCCGCTGTCTTTGTCTGAATCTATACAATAAAATACAGATGTTATGAATTAATTGAATTTTGCATAATTATGTTATTTGGTCACAAATGTACGATTATATAGAATTTGTAATTATTACCTGAAGAAGATCCTGAAGATTGAGTAGAAGAAGACGAGGAGGGATTACCAGAAACCGTAAATGTATTTGAATAATAGTAATTATAGGATGTTTGGTCCATTAGAAATAGTTTATAACTTCCTGCCCCGACAGAAACAACCCAAGTTTCGCTTCCCTTTGTAAGATCTACATAGGTATCTATAACTGTAATAGCAGAAGTTTGTGCATTTTGAATCCCTAACTCGATGCGTGTGGATTGAACACCACTAAAAGACCAACTAATCACGATAGTTGAACCTGATTGAACATTTTGAGGTGTATTTAACACCACAGCTATATTTAAAATAAACGAATATTATTAGCTATTTGAGTTTATGACATAAATATTAATGAGAAATTTAGATACAGACTCTACCAAAAATTTCTTTTCCAGCAATACGATTCTGATAAATTTTTAAAAAATATTCATCTGAATCGAATTACTGGATAGTCAGATTTATAATGTAATATTGGTAGCAATCTATACATTCAAAAATATATTAATGAATGAATAGTTCGTACAGTAATATGCATCCGCGACGCAATAAAAAATTGTAAAAATAATGAATATTAACTTGATGTTAGTCATGCTTAGTTTAGGGATAAGAATGAGAAAAAAACACGACTGTGTGATTTATCTAATTTCATTACTGTCATGTCTTTGCTATTTATGGTCGTGTAAGGTATCATCTTTGCATGCGATATTGCTATCTTTTTCTAATTTAAGAATGTTGTGTCGCTATCATAGAGATCGACAATAAAAATTTCTTTCTAAACCCCTAAAAAGGAAATTTTTACTCCCGCCATTTTTATACATGATACATGTATATTACTACATGTACATCTACATGTACATGTACATGAGAGAAAAAACAATTCGAATCATTTAAAAACAACAAATTCTAGTAAAGAAAGCATCCTTTTGGTACTTATATGCCTA